ATCAGACACCGTTGACTTTCCCGCGCCTGGCACGCCCGCAAGAGCAACAAGCATGCGATGACCGGGATTGGTCGCTTGGCGAGACAGAAGGTTTTCCGTGCGCTTGGCCACATCGAGTATGGATGCACGCAAGGCGTCCACCTTTGATTCGGCTGGCATCATCGGCGACTCTGGAATCGCAGACACGAAATTCTTAATGAGATATGAAGATGTATGAGATGTTGGGGTTAAGAGACTCGCATGAGGTGAGCAGTGTTACAGTACTGCATGCGACGAGCTATGATCTAAAGATCACGTTGGCGTTGTGGAGTCGGACGACAGCTGTCCGAGCATAAGTCATGTTGGAGCCCCAGTTCCCACAACTGAATCAGGCAACTTTACCATGCGGGGAACCCGCATGGCACTTACGACTACCGGCGTAGACGCATGGAGAATCGTGGAGTCGGACGACAGTGCTCCGAAGGTGTCGAATCCCAGCTGCGATCGTGAAGTTCTCACGCGATCGGCAAAGGTATATAAGCACGCGACACTACCATCACTAGGCTGCCTACTCATAGCTGATTCCAATCTTCGGAGCCGACATTGGCATATCCACAAAGAAGACGACCAGCATGTCTTCAATCCAGGATGTTACTGCCGCTGGAGCTGCGCCAAAGATTGGTGTCTATAAGGAGCTGAGACAAAACCCATATCTCCTTGGTCTATCCGCTGTAAGTCGATGTCACTCTCAACTCACCTTAGCCTCAACTAACGTGCATAGTTTGCCTCGCTTGGCGGGTTTCTCTTCGGTTATGATCAAGGTGTAGTCTCTGGAGTGCTGACCATGGAGTCTTTCGCGGCATCCTTCCCGAGAATCTCAACAGACAGCTCCTTCAAGGGCTGGTTCGTCTCGACATTGCTACTCGCTGCTTGGTTCGGTTCTCTCGTCAACGGACCAGTAGCCGATCGCTTCGGTCGCAAAGGATCTATCATCATAGCTGTCGTCATCTTCACTATCGGTTCCGCGCTTCAAGCTGGCGCGATCAACATTCCGATGGCTTTTGCAGGTACGGAACCTTCAGCGTGGTGTGATTGCAAACTAGACTGACAACACACACAGGCCGCGCGATCGCTGGTTTCGCCGTTGGTATGTTAACGATGATTGTACCAATGTACATGAGTGAAGTCTCGACTGCCGGCATCAGAGGCACTCTAGTCGTTCTCCAACAACTTTCCATCACACTCGGTATCCTTGTCTCATACTGGCTCGAGTTTGGTACCCAGTACATTGGAGGCGTACGTTGCGCGCCCGACATCCCATACACTGGTGGCACTGCGGCAGAGCCTACCTTCGACCCACGAACCGACGTTGGCCCAAACGGCTGCACCGGACAGAGCGATGCTGCATGGCGCGTTCCTTTCGCGCTCCAGATCTTCCCCGGTCTCGTTCTCGGTATCGGTATGCTGTTCTTCCCCGAATCACCTCGCTACTACTGTATGCGCGACAACGAGGAGGCTGGTGTGAGAGCGCTCGCCCGAGTCCGTCGCAGCTCTCCAGATGATGAGTCCCTACAGAAGGAGTATCTCTCCATCAAAGCCGAAGTCATGTTTGAAGAACAATACAACCGCGAGAAGTTCCCGGGCAAGTCTGGAGTCTCGCTGTATCTTTCGGGTTACTCAACGCTCTTTTCGACCTGGCCATCTTTCAAGCGTACGGCTATCGGTTGCTGTGTCATGTTCTTCCAACAGTTCATCGGATGCAATGCGATCATCTACTACGCGCCGACAATCTTTGGTCAGCTAGGCCTCAGTGGTAAGACGACTGGACTGCTTGCAACGGGCGTATATGGGATTGGTACGTAATCATCGTCAGCTAGCAGAAGTACCAAGACTTGATAGCTAACCTGTTCCTCTAGTCAACACGCTGTCTACTCTTCCTGCACTCTTCCTCATCGACAAAATTGGCCGCCGCCCTCTCCTCCTCTGCGGTGCCGCTGGTACTTGCATATCCCTCTTGATTGTCGGTGGTGTCATCGGCGGTTACGGATCTACACTCAAAGACCACCCCGCAGCTGGATGGACGGGCATCGCCTTCATCTACATCTACGACGTCAACTTCTCATACTCTTGGGCACCAATCGGCTGGGTCCTACCCTCGGAGATCTACAACATCGGTAACCGCTCAAAGGCCATGTCTCTGACCACCTCATCGACATGGATGTGCAACTTCATCATCGGTCTCGTCACACCCGATATGCTGGAGACTATTGGTTTCGGTACATACATCTTCTTTGCTGCTTTCGCTCTGATCGCATTTGTGTTCACGTGGTTCCTGATACCCGAGACCAGGGGCAAGAGCCTGGAAGAGATGGACGCTGTGTTCGGTGACAGCACTGCACACGAGGAGAAGACGAGGCTGTACAACATTGCGCAGAGTCTGGGACTGGAAGAGGCTGAGGCTGCGGCATTCGATGAGAAGCCCATGAAGGCGCTGCAGACTGAGGTGACGAACGTATGAGAATAGTCTACATAGAAGCTAAACAGCGTGAAGCGTACATTAACGTTAGGTCTTCCTGTTTGCTCAATGTTGTCCTAATGTAGGCTGCAGACCTGTCCGGTTTCTTCTTTCTTGCTCTGCTCTCCAATCCCTCATCGCGTCACCTTCCAACTGCTCAACCATTGAGTCGTCTTCATCTCCATCATCATAATCACTTTCCTCATCCTCACCATCCTCAGAGTCATCTTCAAAATCAGCCATCCATCCCGTCATCCGTACCTTCTTGCGTCCTTTACAAATTTGAGCTCGGCATTCTGGACAGAGATTGGAGTTTGGTGAAGTGCCATTCATCCATCCTTTGATGCAAGCAAAGTGAAAGTAATGGCCGCAAGCGCTCATTTTGGCACCTAACAAGCCATGCGTCTCAAGACACACGACGCAGAGCTGGTCTTGAGGGATGTCTAGATCCCATTTTCCATACTCCAATGGCTGTATGCAAGGTCCGTATGCCTCTAAATAAGCCTTGTCATAGACGTTGCGTAGGGTATTGGTGTCGAGATTGTGTTGATCTTCTGAATCATCTGCAGTGTTTTGTCCGTTGATGTTTTGTACGCTCCTCGCATATGCTGCTGATGACGCTTCAGCCGACGCAGCCACTAGTTCGTCTGACTTTGCGGACCAAAATGCGTCTATGTCCTCGACTTGGTAGCAGTCTGTGCCAATAGTTTGCGCCTGAGCCATATTTCGTGGAATGCCTCCGAACTCGCCCTTTCTGATACCGTCTGCTGACAGCGAAGCAGCCGCTTCGGGTATTTCTTTCCAGGTCCGAAACTTTAGGCCTCCGTTCCTCCACAGTCCTCTCAGCAGAGTTTTCATATCCACAGTATGCGATCCCGACTGTATCGTGGCTTTGGCAAACTGGTTTATCATCCCTTGGTACATACGGTCTCCAATGGGCTGCTCGATGTTGGCGAAAGCTTCGATCCACAGATCATCCCAGATATCCCTAAACTTGATTTCCTTCAGTGCAGCTCTCGTATGGTAAGGGGGCGCCTTGGTTTGATTGCCGCGAAGTGGTGGAGTTGCTTGAATTATATCTTTGAAGCGGGCGCGTGCCTGTACAAAGCCGCCGAGATAGCTCACGTACGATGGATAGAAACATGGGTTTCTGTCCCAGATTGCGACTACGTTGAGTGTGATGTCCATTACGATATCGAGCAGGCTTGCTATGGATGCTTCGTCGCAACGGGACCACATGGTGAAAAGACGGAGCGCGGGTTGGATGGCTGTCATGGTTTGGCAGTACTCCTCCTCTCCCCGGTAGTCATGGCTACTGTTGTATTTTGGTTGAGGCGTAAGAAGTTGCTGAAGCGCCGTCCTCGCCCCGGCGTAATAAGCAACTCCATCCGGTAGTCGTATCAGTGCGCACTCGACAAGCCACTTGACACCGCGAGTTACTGTCGTATATCCTCTACCCTTGTCCCATAGCACTTCTCCCGACATCAAGTCCGTCTGATGGATGTACTCATCCACAACGTGCGAGTACTGTCCTCGGTAGAAGATACCAGGCAGGACTCGTCTTACGGATTGCCTAGTTCGAAACTGCGGTGCTTCCGGGTCCACGAGTTCCGGTATTGTGGCGCACACATCGTCGTATCGCTGAGGGGTGGGCGTGTACACAAGGCAGTACTCATCGGCTTCGCGTTGACTGAGTATACCTGCGAAGAATCGGAGGACGAGCTGGGATCCGTAGGGAGCGTCTAGGAATCTCTCGATGGCGTTGGACAGTTCAGGAATATAGCGCGGTTCAGGCTCGCGATCATCGAGTTCGCTGTCTCTGTCGACTTCCTGCATCGGCGCGGTCTTGACGGGATCGGACATGGATTTTTGGCGTCTGAGTGCGGCTAGGAAGGAGGGCAGGAGCAAAGACTGTTTTTACCGCAGAAAGCTTGGACGTAGCAAACACTCATCCAACTAACAATGGCAGTGAAAGAATTCGATCCTCTTCTCATCACGTAACACTAAGGTAACAAAGAAGTGTGTGGCGAACCCCCCACAGGAGGAATATGTTTGTACACTAAATACTAGCAATACAACGCCGCCACCGAAGAAAGTAAGAGCGCACTGATGCGACTAACAGGTACAAGGCTACTTGTGATACACGAGCAAGGAAAACCAAAAAAACGAGCGCTATGTCAGGGCAATCAAGAGGGGTATTAGAGACAGTAGCGAAGATATAAACCAGCCACCACCAGGGCTCCTATAAGGATACATATTTCGCGCCGCGAGCGAGCGGATGATGCAGGCCGGAAGAAGACAGAGATGTAAAATGGGGGATGACAAGCAAAGGTATAAAGAAGCGAACAAGAAAGTAGAACCCCAGCCCAATAAACCAAAGTTCTTCCAAGATTTCGTTCCACATAATGCGTCCCACAATCCCCAGAACGCCGGTTAAGGATCAGAGGAAATGAGCCCCTAGGGTATACTGAAAAAGCAAAAAATGTAACTCACAACGAACGAGCGTCTAAAATCTCGACCCCGCCCTCAAACTCCCGTTTGCGCTTGTGCTGCGCGCGGTGCTAGCACCACTTCCAGCTCGCTTCATGCGCTTCTCCATAAGCCCGTTGAGCAGACGATCTAGTTCGCCACTCAGGCCTTGCATGGTCTTTGTCTCTTCGGAGAGATAGTCCTTCATCAGTGGATGATCGCGACCAACAGGTACAACCCCCGTAGTGTCGTTAATAACGACGAGCATATCACGAATCTCGCTACCATCATCGAGGTAAGCGCGGAGCGAGGCGTCAGACCATGCAGGAAGCATTGTGCTTTCCGAGGATACGGGCGGCGAAGGTTCGCGATCCTTGGTAGGGATTGGTGCTGGTCGTGAGGGTGGAGGACCGGCCGGTTCAGATGCATGATGCGTGGGTGAGGAAGTGTTGTCAGACCTGAAAGTCGAAATCGTGTTGTTTTCTGGAATGGTTTTCATAGGGCTGTCGTCAGGCGTAGGCGTCGAAATGGGGGAGCTAGTCTCTTGGCTTGAGCTATCGGTAGACAGGCCTGGAGTGTGGTGGGATTCAGACTCTCTTTCTCTGTCGGCAACACTCTCTTTCTGTGAAGGCTGTGCGTCCGCTGCAGAGACGTGTACTGGAGACTCAGAAAGGCGTCCAGCAGACTCAGACTTCTCAGCCTCGCCTGGCTTATCCTGAGCATCAGGATCCGCGAAAGGATCGCTGCTTTCATCTGAATCGAAATCATCCAACTGCACGCGCTGCTTCGCCTTGGTAACCTTCTCGCGCTTGACCTCTCCTTCTTGTGGTGATTTCATCATACTACTGAATGGGTTTCTTGAGTTTGTAGGCGCGGATGTTGAGTCTGGCGACATGGTCTGTTCTTCTACAGAAGGCCTGTTGGCCTGATCCTGTTCGGGCGGGACTAGACGCATGGTCGACGTAGACTGTTGTGCGGCGGACTGATTGTCAGGTCCATCCGACATGGCATCTGGCTCGGCGCTCAACTCAGTCGGACTCTCGGTCTTCAAGATACCCTTTGTCTTTTGCGGTGAATCGTCTCGGTTACGTTGACTTCGATGCACCTTGGGCTTGCTCAACTGTCTCAACGGTGCTGGAGCTGTTGCCTGTTCAGCTGACGGTCGTTCTGCGAGTTCATCCGATGGTTTCGATTGCGGCGAGCTGCGGTCTATTTCTTCCGGCTTCTCGATGTCGCTGTCCACAGAGTCTTGTGCGCCCTTGCCTTTACGATCCTTGCGCTTGAAAAGCCCACTGAGCATGCCAGACTTCTTCTCTTTCTTCTTCTTGTCGTCCTTGACCTTGTCCGCGAACCCGTTCTTCTCCAAACTTTCGAGACTGGGGCCGCGCTCGCGGGAGCCTGTAGTCGATGTACTGGAGTCGTCGCGAAGCAGGTTGGGAGTGAGGGTGATTTTGCGTGTCTCGGTGTTTTCGTCTTTGAAGAAAGAGTCTGTGTTGCGGAGCGTGCCATTCCGAGAGACTTTGGGGTCCAAAGGTCGATCGACCGCATCTTCGCTACCTCTTTCACGGTCATCGCTTTGTTTGGCGGAATCCTCGCTTGAGCCTCGTGCTTCACCATCAGTCTGGCCATCCTTCTTCGCGCCGTTAACCTTGAGAGGTTGCACTTCCAGGTTTTCTTCCTGTGCGGAATCGCCATCTTGTGTTGCTGCCTGCTGCTGTTGCATTTGCTTTGGCTCTGGGCCACCGAAAAGCTCACCCTCCCCCTCGTCAGATGAGTAGTCGTAGTCCGAGGCTTCGACGTAGGTAGGAGGAGCGAATTGTACGGTCTTAGCGTTCCTTCGTCGCATAGCCTTCTTGAGCGGGTTCTTGGATTTCTCGGCAGTATCACCAAGCATCGTTGCGGAGAGGTCTATATTTCTGTGCTTGTTGAGGCGGGCCAGACGTTCTGTCGGTGTCTCGATGTGTTCGGCGGGCAGGTAACCTGTAAATTGAGTCAGCAAAAACTTAAACTCAGTAACGGATGCCTACCAATGCTGTTGTCCTTGACTACTCGTACTAGCCACCAGTAGCTGTTACTGTCGTCAAGTAATACCATCGTGTCACCTTTCGTTGCGTTTGCCTGACCCTCGACGGTCGCGACAAACGTGTGCAGGGCGTAAACAAATTCGAAATCGATATCCTCTGTTTCTCGTAAGCATTCGCCTCCCCATCCTGAGTCGATAAATCTGGAATCATCAGAGAAAGAGACGTCTTTGGATGCATCATCGTTGTCTTGGTCCATGTCCTCAGTCCAGGAGTCGGCATCGCTGTCGGTGGTCCAAGAGCCCTCTTCGTCTTCGGAGTGACAATCTTCGGGAGAAGGGGTGCTGCTCGTCCCTCGAGGTGGACCTGGGCCGGATTCTAGGAACGGATCGTCCGGCGTGTCCAGAAGTGCGCGGTTGATCGGTTTCAACATGCTTTTGACCTGCTCCTCGTCCAGTTCGGAGATTAGTGATGCCTGTGAGTCTTCTCTCATCTCAATACTGCGTTCGACGGCCTTGAGTTGTCTCGTCCTCGGGCTCATACCGACCTCGATCCGTATGGTGTCGCTGTCGTCCGGTGCGTTGGTGGCCCTTGTCCAGGAATACTCACCACGATGATGCTCCGCTGACTGATTTTCCGTGGGTATAGGGAATCGAAAAGAAATGGGAATCGATGTAGGTCGACCCCTTGACATAGGAGAAGTGTCGGACGCTGGGACGCTGAGTGGTCTTCGAGCGTTGGCGACAGAAATAGGAAAATGAATGGGCGTGTTCGTAAACGGGGAGGAAGAAGCGACCGTTGAGAGGAACGGCGAAGACTGCGGAGTCGTAAACTCTTGTCTTGCCGGCCAGGTCGTGGGGGAACAAGGTAAAGAATACCCACCATCGTCTATCGAGGGCGAACTCGAAATCTTGTCCATCATGTCGTCGTCCATGTCCTCCTCGACGTCGGCGTCCTGCATGTCGCCATCATCACCGTCGTTGGACGTTCCACCATTCAGCCTGACAGCCTGCTCGTCTTGCTGTGGGCCCTTGTTGCCATTGATGACAGTGCGGTCGTCGTCTGAGCCGGGATCGTCTCGTAGCGTGTTGCCAGCATCGCTCCATGCATCGTGCAGACGCGCCTCCTCTGAGGTGCGCTCCTGCTCTACATGCCGTATAGCAGCCTGCTGATGAGGCGCTGCTGGGCCAATACCAAGCGGCGCAGGGTGTTGGGGCTGCTGGGAGTGGTCTTGGGCGGTGGGCGACGATTTGTCCTGCAGGTCGATAGTGTCTACACACTTTAGTTAGCCCGCGCACCTCAATTGCGCACTCTCTACTGTCTCCGTACCTGCTCTGATGATGTGCGGTCGCGTCATCCTAGCTCATTCCTCTCTGTGCGTGCAACGTTGGGGGATCTTCGTTCGGAGGAATGGCTAGGTGAGATGAGGCGCAATCGGTGGCTGGGTCGACTGGCGCAGGGTCACCGTAGCGCGACTCCAGTTGCCGTGGAAATACAACAATACAAAGACCAAAGAATCGCGTGCGTGGGTCGATCAGGGCGTTACAGGTGTCGCATGCGTTATCTGGGCGTGTTTCGAGGAAAGAGCGGCTGAGGGTCGGGGGAGCGTGAAGCGGAGTGAGATCCGTTGGGGGACATGCGAGTCTCTGACGACAGCGAGGGCGAGACGGCGGCACAGCGAGACAGCAAGAGGGCGAGGGGATGGCGATGAATGCGGCGCTGCTGGCAGTGAGGGGCACGTCGTGGGCGGTGCAGTGGTGAAAGTAACGTCGTATGGCACGAGAGTGAACTGTTTCGGGGTCGCGCCTTCCCGAAGTTGTGCCCTGTCTAGGTCAACTTGAAACACCTCACTTCTAGTTCCTGCGCTAGCCTGTTCCTGGCCATCCCATTGCAAAAAGGAGATGCGGCTCGGTCCTTCTATATCACCGCTTTAATGACCGCATCTGCAGCCAACTCCTGTCTGATTGCCCGTCTTGTCCAGAACGCATGATGCGTTCGCGGAGTCGTTTCCACATGGGCGACGTTATGTGGGGATCCCGGCTGCAACAACAAGCCGCCAAACACTAACTTGGAACAATGCCAAACGTCATTGACTTTGGCAGCTTGCGACAGCAGCACTACGCCATGTCGCATACACTGTCTCAAGTTCATGGGTTCTAGAAACATCTCTTGATGGTACGGACAAGGTTCTTCCTATCTTGCGAACGCCAACTTGCTTGGTAGTCAGTCCAGTGTATCTATGTGAGGCTTGGCAGCGCTGCATGTAGCACTACCATTTACACTATCACGATTAGATGTTCGTTCCACGAATTTGGCACATAACAGGGCAAGGGGTGTTTGTTGTAGAGAGAACCAGGGGCGATTGATAGACGCACTATTTGCCGATGTTGCAATTCGAAATCGGACGTGTACATTTGGAGAGCAATTGCCTGCCTTGAGAAATGTGGCGAATACATATCATATCGTCCACATTCGCATAAACAAATCTCTAAGAGCGAAATACCATGAAATCATACGTATCATATAGATTGAGAGATGTGGAAAACATCTCACTGGAGCTCAACGCGGCATCTATCAGGTCGTTGCCAGCGCTTATGATTCAAATGTCTTCCAACACCTTTTCGAAATATGAAGAGTCCTTCCAGCCACAGACGCGCATGTTAACGAACTTCTCTATGTCTTTATCGCAAATATATTCCTTGCCCTTAAGTGCTTTCAGCATCCATACCGAGACCATCAGATCCTCGGGATCCGACCACCCGTTGAAACGTGGAAAGCGACTACTCTCCTCTGCAAGAGCATGCGTGAACCTGTCGTCAATGTTATGTAACAATGCTGATCCGACTACTACGTATCTGTGATCATCTAATTCTCTGAGTATCAACCCATAGCTCTCACGTCCAAAAGGAAGTGCCTCCTCAACCAGACACCAATCGCCCACATTCGTGTCGACGTGTGCGCGCACGGTAATTTGTGAGCCTATTCGTATTAAGACAAAGCGTCCGTTCTGTACTCGCTCCATATAGCATGAGTGTGGGTTGCTCTGCCTTCGGCCATCGGCATGCTCGGATATTCGATTGCCTTCGATAATACGTATGCCTCTCCAGTTCGTTTGGACTTTGGTAATCTCAGAGTGAGGATCGTCTTGTCGTCGAAGGACCGCTTGAGGGGCCGCGCTCGAACGCAACGCAACGGCGTCGCGCAACGATGCTAGCTCCAAAGTGATATCGAAGAGGTTCAATAACAGAAAAAACCGGCTTATGAAGCGGTTATGATCCCCATTCGAAGGCAAAAGAGAGAGAGCGTGCTTAGCAACCTCAAAGTTATCTTTTGTGTAATCCGGGGTTGGGGTATGTCCCTGTGGCCACCTTACAAGGGAAATGATACCATACAGATTATCTCGAGCGTCCACGCAACGGAAACCACGGAGCATCGCTAACACGTCATCAAGATCTTGCTTTTGCGCTGATACACCAAGCCGCAAACATACCCTGGATGACCCTGTTCTCACCAAAGCGAGCTGTATTGGTCGCCACAAGTCCTTCGAGCGCTTGCTAGAAAAGCTAAGCCATCGCTGGTATCTGTTCAATGTCCAATAAGGATATATGTAGCGAGGACTGACCCAATAATCGACGAGTGCCTCTAGCGCTCGGAAAGACTCCCCTGGTTGTACATCTGCCCCACAACAGAACGACATTCCGGTGGCTAGATGTAACTCTTGTAGGACCCATACGCGTGTGAAGTATGGTCTCCGTATGAATGAGACAAACGCTTTGCTCATCCGTAATCGTTCTGAGGTACGCACAGTAAGGAGACTTCGCAACTGCCGGCATATATGATCGCTGATCGGGTTCCCCAAGTAGGGATAGCCACTGACGTAGAAAGTGTCGTAATTCCTAGTCGACTGGCCCCATCTGCGGACGGCATCGAATGTGGAGCGGTGATGCTCAATCGTGGCCATTAGATATTCGCTATCATCGACATGGGGCCCAACGCAAGCGAAAACGTGCTTTGCCCCGGAATAGATCTTGCCCATAATGCCGACTTGGTGGTTTCTCTCTTGTATACTCGTCTGCGCAATGCAAATAGCATCGACCCAGTAATATCGACTGGCTTTCGTTGCAAAAGCTTGTTGAAGAACGTATTCGCAATTCCGTCGTACAACCAACGATTCGCCGCTGACTGTGATTTGGATTGTGTCGGCTGGGTCGCCCCAGGTATACGATATCGCGTAGTAGGACGGCGCGTCGTCGATCGGCCATGAGGAGATTTCGCATTCAACCTGCTGGCCAAAATCGCCGCGTAGGATATGTAATAGGCGGAAGTGGGTCGTAGAGTCGGGAAGTGGGTCGTGCTCGAACGCGGAGGATGGGGTTTCGCTGGTCATGCTCGCGCGTAGTAAGGAAGCTGCGAAGCTTTGGGGAAGGTGCGCGACATGCGCAACTTTGATGTACGGAATAGCGCTCGATGAAGATGTTCTGGATTGTTGTTCCTGGTCTATCGTAAAGATAGGATGGACAGACAACCGCCGGAAGGCTGGGGTGCTGCCTACCCATCAACTCAACCAGGCTGAGCTGATCCTCAGCCGCAGTCAGCCATGCGGAGGCTGTGCGGCAGCGTCTCGCGTCTCGCATCCTCAACCTCCAACATCATATTTCACCTTCAACACGTCTCCCTTCGCAAACTAGGCAATACAACGAGCATTCGTTCTGATCAACATATCCGCCACGGCCTCTGGCTTCGACTGCGCTGAATCGTCCGAGGCAGCTTCGATATTTAGGTAGGGTCGGAATCGCGTGTGGACACAGATTCACCGTCGTCCAGGGTTACTCAAGGATTTGGGGATTTCCTTCACACAAGAGAATATGCTTGCGACAGAAGTAATGGTCAATGCCATGATGCTCCGTTCATTGACGGAGAAGAGTTGCTAGACGCTGAGAGGTTGTAACCCCGCCGAGGAAGGAAGGCTGTCGCAATGGGAGTTCCGACCTTGCACTTGCAGGGCTTATGCCACAAGTACGAGGTGCCGACGAGCTTCATTCTGCCGTTACGGACATGAGCGACTTTTTCATCGTGATTGACCAATCGCACGCATCAGGTCCAAGGTGTAAAAAAGGCAATGACGGTGCGCAGCTCCAGTTCGTGAATTGAGAAAGAATGCGCGGTCTGTACGATCACACCTGAACAAGCGGATCACGCGGAGATTTGTTCCCACGGAATTTCTTCGGCTTATGGACTCTGTCACCGTATTACGCAGCGATGGCACCTTCGCACTAACTTCCACCAAACACCCTTTGAGATTCATATTCTGCAGAGAACATTGTCGTTGTTTCAATCTCTGCGTGCTTCGCGCACGTCATAAATCCGCTCAAAACTCCCTTCCAATTCCCATGTAGCCCTATCCGTATTAAACGGCCCACGTTTGTGGATCTCTCCGGGCCGATGGGCGAGAGCTAGTCCTCGTACAGCCCTTGCGCGCCCCTTTCCGGACAGTGCACATCGGCCCGTGAGCCTCATCTAGCTTTGAAGTCTTCCAGAAGACCAGTTCTGTTAATTTTAGAACACGACCGTCATCTTCGGGTCTTCAGGCTTGAATGTCAATGGACAGAACCGTTGAAACTTCGTGTGGGTATCCTTGTAAATACGATGTTCAGGCTGTATTACTGAGTAGCGCGAGCGCAGGTACTAATATATACTTCCATCATGCCGCCTAGTACTTCCTCCCTCAAGTCAAGAGCATCTCATCTCTTGATACTCACAACACCGTTTCACCGTCTCACCATCCTTCACGATGGTGGCCCAAATGAAGAAGCTCCTGGCCGTCGCCACCACCGTCTCGGCATCCGTTCTTGAACTGCCCGTTGTCATCGACAACAGCTATGCCAGCGTCAAATTCGAAATCGGAACACCCCCGAAGGAACACCGGTTGTTGTTCGACACCGGGTCATCAACGCTGTTCGTCGTCAACACCGACTGCACCGAGGAGTCTTGCCCAGACGGCAGGGTCACGTCCTACGTTCGAGAGAAATACAACGCATCTGCTTCGTCAACATCCGTCGACCTCAACATTCCCGCGGCGATTCCATACCTCGGCGGCGACGTCGCCGGCGATACTATCCAGGACGTTTTCAGCACCCTAGACGGTAGCGTGGAATGGAACCAGACCTTCCTATCCGCCAACCAGAGCAGCTGGCGTTTCATCACTGCCGATGGTTTCCTCGGCCTGGGTTTCTCCTCAATCGCGGAAAAGAACACGTCGACCCTGGTCGAGACATTGTTGTGGGACGGAAAACTGGACGCACCCCGTTTCAGTCTATTCTACGGGACGAACTTTGAGGATGCGGGCAACGGTACGCAAGACGGTGTGCTAACCGTCGGTGGCAGTCATGAAGACAAGTACGTAGATGGCGAGATAGTCTCCACGCCCTTGAGAAAAGAGGATCCATACCAGCTCTGGCGTGCGCCACTAAGGAGCATCAACGTCCTCGTTGCGGAGAACGTATCGGAAACAAACGCAACCATCCAGATACACAACGGCCACCTTCCCATCACTGCCGTGTCAAACGGTGGTGAACCAGACGCCAACGTAACATGGTCAATATACCAAGGTGGAGCAGTTTTCGATACTGGATCCGGACGTGTCTCCTTTCCGAGCGACATCATCGACGCCATGTACTTCAACCTCGGCTGGAATTACACCAAGCTCACCAACCACGGCGAGGAGATCATGGAGTGTAAGCACCTGAACGCTTCGTGGGCCATCACTTTGACACTTGGCGAGGGCGCCCGAGAGGACGATGTCTCCTTCACCCTTCGAGGCGACGAGTTCCTCTTGCCGGGCCACCAATGCATGCCGCCATTTGACAGCAGCGAGAGCGAAGGTTTCGCGTTGATCGGCGCTCCGTTCCTGCGAAGACATTACTCCGTCTTCGACTTTGGTGCTGACAAGGTCGAGGACTATCAGCCGACCATCGGTTTCGGAAGGTTG